AAAAAAAAAAATGACTTTTGTACCTCATATCTTCTCCTCTTTATTCTTACATTTTATCTTTCTTATTTGTAAATCAATTAGCATGATTTAATTCTTCTATGATATGAAGATACTTAAATGATGCAAGATATTTGTCTAAATTAACCACACACAAAGGCAGATCCCAAACAAGATTTTGATCACAAGTGGAAGTACAACTATTTGATGACATTCAACAAATTTGTTCAAGAGATAATTTGGCAAACATTGCTTAATTCAAGTTTTGAGAAGTTGATATATAAGACTGAAATTCGTATACTCAGAGATATAAAATGATGTTATTATTAGGGTGAGTAAAATATGTGCTGCGCTATTTTTTCCTTTATCAAGGTTTTGTTCCATTGAGTTTTTCTGGTAAGGCTTTTAACAAGGCAACTTGTGATATATATTATCAAACATGTGTACTCCTTTTCCTTCACTAGGATTTTTTTTTCTATAGGACTTTTTCCTAGTAAGGTTTAACAAGGTACATTACTTTAATGGATATCCAAGAAGGAGAGTTATAAATAATATATATAATTATGTGGATGTTCGTAACCCAAGAGATATTATTCCAAATTGTAACTCCTCAAAATTATTAATTCCTTTCCATTGTAACTTACAATATATTGAGAGATGTACATGTACAAAAGACAGACATATACAATGAAAAGTTATTCTTTTTCTTCTTGTCCTAATTTCCTCTTTTTTCTTTCTTCTTCTTATCCTTTAGTTTCATACCAAAAATTTATTATTGACAATAAATTTAACGCTTTTTAATTTTTAGGAATTCTTAAAAATCACATCACACAAGTGATAAGGTTTTTTTTATAAACTAAAAGAAACTAATTCAAAAGAACACATCAGATATTATATAAGGGAACAAAATCTAATTCCTAGAGGCTCATGAAACAAACAAAAATCTTCCTACTTTGCATGCTCTGTATGAAAAAAAAATTAACAATTGGCACAAGAAAATATTTAACACCATAAATAAAAAATACAATATTCTGAAAAGATATTATTAAAAATTAATATTTTTCTGAAAATAAAGAATTAAAATAATTAATTAATTTCTATTTTATATAATAAATTTGATATTTTTAAATTAATAAGTATTATAAAAAATTAATGGACAATAATTATTTATTATTATTATTATTAGTTATTATTTAACTAAATAATTAATTTTTAATTTAATAATAAAATGAGAAAATAAAGATGGAAGGAAAAATAAAATTTATGTAATAGAAGAAATGAAAAATATTTCTGCACTTACTGCAGATAAGTTATCTGCATCTATTCTCAAAATGACGTTTTTTTGGTATTGAATCTTAAAAAATTATAAAAATAAAGACTATTATAACTCTGAAATAAATTAAAATTATAAAAATATCATTATTTTCGCCCAAAACGACGTCGTATTGAGCTTACTGCAGATAAGTTATCTGCAGTGCAGAAAAAACGAACCCTGTAAGAAAATAAAGATGGAAGGAAAAATAAAATTTAAGATGGAATACGATTCAGGCATGTGACAAAATCGCTCAGCAAGACAGAAAAGGGGAGATTGAAAACAAATAATAATAATAATAATAATAATAATAATAATGTGTGGGATAGATTGAAAAGAGGTTTAGAAAAATGGTATATTTTGGTTTGGTGCATTGAAATTATGGTTAACTTGGCCAATGACGAGGATTCTAAGCCTGCATCACTACAAGAAAAGGAGTAATTTGCGGCGGTGCAATTACCATTTTGACGCGGTTCAAATCGTCGCTAAAAACGTAGGGCGACGATTAACCAACCGTCGCGAAATCAATCGTCGCGAAGGAATCAACGACGGTTGAAACTAACCGCTGGAACAACCGACGCGATCAACATAACGACGGTTAGAAAGGCGGTGTGGCCGCCACATAATGATAGCTGAATTCACTGTGTAATACTATTAGAGGCGGTTTCTAACCGCCTCTAAATAAGTCACGTGTCATTTAGAGTCGGTTATAAACTGCCTCTGTATTTACTTTTGGAGTCGGTTGAACACAGCCCCTAAATAAAGAACCTGTCATTTGGCGTCGGTTTTAAACCGCCTCTATATTTCATTTTGGAGGCGGTTGAACACAGCCCCTAAATAAAGAACCTGTCATTTGGCGTCGGTTTTAAACCGCCTCTATATTTCATTTAAAAATTAATAAATTTTTTGCATATGAAATATTTCAAAAATGCAATTTTTTTAAATTTGAATAATAGTGATTTGTTATTATTTTATTATTGAAATACTTTTTATTTTATAAATTTATTCAAATATTTATTTTGCCATACACAATTTATTAAAATATATCCTAAGTTTTATTACTAGCAATGAAACCATGATGACATGTCGTCCAAATATAATTAAAATTATTAACTCAAAAGGATCATTCATAAAATATAAAATGTTATTTATCATAATGTTCAAAAACATCAAACCTGATGTTTTGCACTATCATCTAAATAAAAAATATAGATTACAAAAAAGTCTAACAAAATATCATCAGATAGTATTGTAGTCTAAACCAAAAGTAAAGATCACAAAAAAGTTCAACAAAATGTATTCCCAATAGAACTATAATCTACACACAAAATAGTAATCCCAAAGTACTGTTGTAGTCTAAACAAAAATTAAAGATCACAAAAATATCCAATAAAAAGTCATTCCAAAGTTTTCAAAATATGTAGAATTTAAATGTCATCCATGAAAAAGTCATTGGGAAGAGTTGCTAATCCTTCATTTTGACCTTGTTGTGCGGATGATATGTTAATATTTGGTGAAGACCTTCTAATACCATTTGAGGATTCCAAACATGAAACCTACAAATTATAAATAAAGACAATATTTTAATGAGAAATAAAAAATTCTTAATCGATAATATTCAAATTGGAACAAATTACAACTGCCATAAATTACAAGTACTGCAAAGGCATTTCAATCAACATAAATGTACATCTTGCAAGCTACATTCATTAAGTATACTTGTATATTACAACTAATAATCACAGAGTAGAGAAGGGCATGAATCTAAAACACTGGCGATAATGTATGCCCTTCTAATAAATTATATAAAGTCATAATACAAGCAGATGGAGCACCAATGCTATAAATGAGTCAGCATGTGTATGTGAGAAATTTAATCCCTTCACTTTGCATTTGAACTACTCCATTCCATGAAAAAATAATTAAAAACTAACTTGAAAATAATTGTAGTAGTAAAGCAAATTAACCACGAGTAACTAGTTAATAATTTAATTATAATATGTGATAATTGTCAATCTTTATGAATTTATAATTACGGTTTTTTTTGTTTGCCTACAGATACATTTATGACAAAATAGTATAAGCAATGTATTATATGATAGAAAGATATAAGACATAAAACATAGCCAATATGAGACAATCTAAGAATGAAATTATAAAACAAAGTTATCTCTATAAAATAGACACAGAAACATCCAAGGAACAAGTCAGTTGGGATGGCGCTAGCAATGATGATGAATAGGTGACAAAAGCAAAGCAACAATAATTGCAAAGAAACAGAACAAAAAATACCACCTTTAGGCATATTCACTAAAAGGGATCCCTCTCTCAAACATTTTCCTTTAATTCGAGTTATGCAAGTCACATTCCTAAGGCCTATTGAGACTTAATGGCTTAAACCAATTTTTTCACCTATATTCACTTAATGAATTTACATAAATAAATTAGGTTCTCATATAAACATATAACTTTGGTGTGTACTAAGAGTTTCACAAAAAAAATTTACAGCTAGAAAATATGCCTATTTAATAATCTTCATCTAGAAAGAGACTATTTTGGGTCTCTTAAATGACAATAGATCGAGTACTGAATGTTTTACCTAAATATAGTGTCTTCCACTACCTAAGTAAATTGCCTTAGAGAAATATTAACATGCTTGATGTCCTTATCGTTAGTTTTAGAAACTTCAAGGAAAAGAAATGTAAAATATGGATTTGAATACTTGAAATAAAATAAAATAATTTACATAACTATAACCAAGCCACCAAATCTGATTGCCAATTATCCTCTTACCAAAATTGCTAGCAAAATCCAATAAGAAATGCTAGCAATATTTTATGCAAAGTATGATAATAAGTTGCAAATGAAATTTTTACTTTAAAAGGGTAAAATTTGCATGAAAACATGAAAAAAATGATATAAGAGAATCTCTTACATGAGACTAAGGAATAATTTCATTCACCATACAGGAAGGTGAGTGTAATCGTCTCCTTGTCTACATTCGATGTCTAAAGTTAGATCAACCCGCCAAACCTGCAAATATTCATACAAAAAAAAAGGCATTCTTAGATAATATAAATGGAATTCAAAATGCAACCAACAGATCCTTAACAAGAATAAAGGATAGGTAAGAGAAACTAAATCAGTTAAAATTATATAAACGTGCATCTGAATCCCAAAAAAAATACTAGAAGCTGCTAAAAGATGTTAAACATGGTTTAAAAATTTGTGATGGTCTGACATCTTGCATCGAAGGACCTGTTGGTTGCAGAAACACATATATATGCTGAATTGGATGGACTTGGTGTCAAAATATGAGCACTGTGCGCTGCTCCACTTTCAAGTATTAGTCCCTGCAGAAATAATAAGGATATTGCCTAGGCCTCATACTGAATCGTGGTTTCCGAGGCATTCCTATAAATCCAAATACTCAATGACAATAAGTAAAAATAGTAAGAACAACTAATCAATTGAATCACATAATGAATTCATAAAACATTGTTGATAACTTACAAAAAGATAGCAATATTATGCATGAATTATCCATAAATAAAATATGAAAAACAAAAATAGCATCAATGAACAATTTATCAAATGTGAGACGAAATTGTATAATACTATTATTACATTGGTTTCAAAATACACATTATCCAATTTAGCCTTCACTAGTCATGTCGTTCAGTATAACACTTTAATCATTGTCATGTTCATTAACGGTCAAAGTGGGATTTTCATCATCTACATCAGGTCTTGCTAACTGAATATGCAAAGCATCATCTGACAAAATTTGTTCCAAGTTTTGGGATGGATATGGCTCAATGGATGGCATAATGTCTTCTTCATCTTCACCCATGTCGTACAAATCTCTTGGTTTCAAATGAATAGGTATACTCCAACCCTTTTCTTTCTCATCATCCACAAAATAAACCATTTGAGCTTCAGATGCTTTAATGTATGGCTCATCATCTTCATTTTCACCTGTATGTATTAGTCTGGTAAAATTAATTGAAGTAAATCCAAGATTATCTTTCTTGATGCCTCTAGGATTAGTGGTATTAGCCCATTGACATTTGAACAAAGTAACTGAAAAAGCAATTGTAATTGATCTCTATAATGTCCATCAGTTTCCCATAGTATAGGACATCTCCAAACCTCATTTGACTATCACTATTACTTGAATAACTTATAGTTCCAAATGTACCAAATACCCCACTATTTTGTGTTTTCAAGCCTCGATCTCGTGTCAAGGTTCGAAATTTGTACCCGTTCACGTTGTATGCACTGAACCTTCTAGCTTGACTGATTGGACCTTGACCAAGAAAAAGCATAATATCTTTATCTGATTCACTCAGTATGTCAACATCTCTAACAATCTACATATGAAAATAGTTAATTAAGATGTTATCACAACATAGACTTTAGTTAATATATGCATTATTCACGGATATAGTGAGAAATGTACTCACTCGTTTAGAGAACCATTCAACAAACTCTCTATGAACCTTCTTATCAATATGAGTAGGATTCCGTGTACGGGGTCTGAGCTGCCTCCGCACCTCAGTTCGAAATTCCCTGCACAAGATTATGAAATTAACCCATAGCTTCGAAGTAATTGCAATGATTGAAGTGTGATAATTACTTACTGGAGATATGGATCAACTGCCGGACAATTAATTAGGACATGTCTATGTGCTTGCAATATTTCTGTTGGTGTGAGGTTGAAATATGAAGAACCCCCAACCGGCTTCCCTACTTGGGGAAACAATTCATGTACTCGTGTTTTTGGCAATTCTTGATTTGGGGCATCATCAACACGACTTGGACGATTAAATCTAGTCTCAATATCATCTAGGTACCGTGAACAAAATGTCAGAATCTCTTGCATTAAGTAACCTTCTGCTATAGACCCTTCCGGTCTCGCCTTGTTCTTTACATAGGACTTCAATTGTCCTAAGTATCGCTCTATTGGATACATCCACCGATAATGGACAGGGCCTCCAAGCTTAGCTTCATCAACAAGGTGAACGGTTAAGTGAACCATGACTGTGAAGAATGAAGGGGGAAATAACATCTCCATATGGCATAAAGTGAGAACAATTTCATTTTGGAGTCTTTCTAAAGTTGTGACACTCAACACCTTACTACATATTTGTTTATAGAATGAGCACAATTCAATTAAAATCCTTGACACTTGTTCAGGCAATGCAGTGCGCATGGCCAATGGTAGCAGTTGATGCATCAATATATGACAATCATGACTTTTTAGCATCCCATTGAATCGAAGAGGCTCCACATCAATGCAACGAGAAATGTTGCTTGCAAAACCATCTGGCACGCTAATATTCTTTAACGTACATAAAAATGCCTTCTTGCCTTGATTGGTCATTGTGTACATTGCTGGAGGATATCTGCCATTTGCATCTGGCCAAAGGTCAGGCTTACAATCCCATTCTTTAAGGTCTTTTCGAGCATTCATGTGATCTTTGGACTTTGCACTATCATTTAGCAAGGTATATATAATGTTGTCACACACATTCTTTTCAATATGCATGACGTCAAGATTGTGACGCAACAAGTTGTGCTCCCAATATGGAAGCTCAAAAAATATGCTTTTCTTTCTCCATTGTTGAGTCCCGACCTGAGCAACACGTCCACTACCACGTCTTTTCCTTTTTCCTCCAATCTTTGGTTTCCGACCGAAAGTCACATGAACATTTTGAACTTGTTGAAGAATATCAGTACCAGATAATATTTTAGGTGACTCACGGAGCTCTTGCTTCCCATTAAAGTAAAGCCTATTCAACCTAAACTTGTTTCTTCGATCAAGAAAACGCCGATGACCCATAAAACACCATTTTTGACTATAAGGAAGTCGACAAGGTATAAAATCAAAGTTGCATACTGGACAAGCTAATCCAGTGTAGGTGTTCCACCCAGACAAAGTTCCAAGGCCAGGAAAGTCACTAATAGTCCACATTAATGCCGCATGTAGTTTGAACATCTCTCGGGTAAATGAATCATATGCATCCACACCATCGTGCCATAATTCCTTCAACTCTTTGATTAAAGGTTGTAGGTAAACATCAATGTCATTTCCAGGCATTCGCTTACCAGGTATGATTGTTGACATAATAAAAGAAGTTGACTTCATACACACCCAAGGAGGGGTGTTGTATGGAACCAATACAATTGGCCAGATGCTATAATTAGAACTCATGTTACCAAATGGATTAAAACCATCAGTAGCTAATCCAAGACGTACATTGCGTGGGTCTGATGCAAATTCAGTATTGATTGAATCAAACCTCTTCCATGCTTTAGAATCCCTTGGATGCCTCATAATTTCGTCATTGTTATCATCCATGGTGTGCCATCTCATATCTTCAGCAGTCTTGGATGATAAAAACAACCTCTGTAATCGTGGCTTCAATGGAAAGTAACGAACAACTTTTGCAGGCACCTTATTCTTACTCTTCCCACCATCAGATTGTAAAACTTGACCACCCACATCCGTTGATTTCCATCTGGACATCTTGCAAACTTTGCAACTTTGCATATTTTCATCATCCATACCCCAATAAAGCATACAGTTATTTGGACAAGCATGTATCTTTTCATAATCCAAACCCAACTTTGAAATAGTTTTCTTTGCCTCGTAGAATGAAGTTGGCAACTTTGCATTTTCAAATGCATCTTGTAGTAGCTCCAATATCATTGTAACAGCCTTGTTAGTCATCCCACAATAGCATTTGATGTGATACAACTTCAGCATAAAAGAAAGTTTTGAATATTTCTTACATCCTTCGTACAAAGGTTGTTCTCCATCTTTTGCTAATTCAAAGAAATCTTTATCTTCATTTGATGTGGTTCCACCATCTTGGGCAATGTCTTCATTTGTGTGAAAGTTGTGCTCATTCTCATGGTGAATATCAACTCCAAATGCATCATTTATCATGTTTTGTATCGGATCTTCATCAACCAAGTTGTCTTGTTCCACATTTGCAAAATGTGTGGCATTGACATTACTATTTTCCTCCATCCTTGACTCACCATGGTAGAACCAAAAAGTGTATCCTTCAGGGAATTGTTTGCAATCACCATACCCACCAATAAAAACACAGCTTTTTCCAACTTTAACGTTTGATTCTGAGCTGAGCTCGTGTAATTGATTAGCCATAACCAAAACAATAAAAATAAAAAATCGAACTTTACTTTTTTGTAACTCAGCATGTCAAAGTTGTTTGTGCTCAAAGTTTCTGTCTTTGTTGAAGTGCCGCGTGTATATCATTTTTTTGTTCGTGGTTTGTTTTTTGGGTCACTGGGTTGGGTGAAGTTTTTTGTTTTTGTTTTGCTGTATCTAATGGTAAGTGATAGTTACCCGAAGATGATGTCAGATGTGGCGATTCGATCGATGTTGAAGAAGCCTGATTACAACAAGGATTTGGGGGTTCTGGGGCAGCAGCAAGAGGCGAGTGAGAGGGAGAGAGAACTCGCGAGGTTGCGAAGTGGGTCGGCGCCTCCCACCGTTGAAGGGTCATTGGCGGCGGTTGGAACTTTGTTCGATGGCGGCGATCTGGTTGCCGGTTTTGGTTGCGGGAGGGGTTTTGGGAGTGAGGAGGAATCATAAAACCATCTACAAGAGGCAACGTGGAAGATGAGATAAGTTTGTTAAGACTCCCGTCGGCTTTCTCTGCGCCCTACCAAGAAGAGTCGTCATTTGAATGCTAGGTATGAACTATACCCAACGCGCGCACACATATACACCCATGTTCACACACACACACACACACACACACAAACACACACACACTTATGCCTACACATGCACACACATCTGCACACCCACGTGTGTGCGCACTCTAGCACACATACACGGATCAGTGGGTAATCCAGAAAAATTAGTTATGTCTGCACATTTATTTGTGCCTACACTTGCAGACACATGCACAAGTGTGGGTTCGCCATACGCGCAAACATACACACACCCCTACTCACACACAACTATAAATGCCCAAGTGCACATCCACACACACATGGGCAATGCACACCCACACTTACAACACAATTTTAGTAATGACCATTATTTTGGGGTGAGATTGCATAAGTTAGGGATGGATTATGAAAAGTATAGTAAATATTTTTTTTATATTACACATGACTTTGAAACTTGCCACATATTATATCATTTTGTGTTAATTTTTATGAATTTAAATTCATTGTAATTATAATGATTTTATTAAAATTACGTTTTATCCCTTTTTTTGTAAACACATTTTATCCTTTTTTATCTATTAATTAAAATCTTTTTTTAAGACTTATTTTTTCAAAAGAAAGCATTTCAAAGTTTTTATATTTCTTTATAAAATACAAATTTTTATTAGTTGAAAAAAAATAAAAAAGATATAATATCAAAAGATATATAATTCAAATACAAAAATTATTTAAAAATTACTTTAATTTAAAATTAGTATATATATATATATATATATTACCTTTTCTATAATTTTTAATATACTTGTTATTGTGTCTAGCTTATGCCAACCTCCTTCTTGGCACTATACATGTGTAGTTATCCTTCACAAAATATGTCCACCTCTATTGTAATCTCCTTATTACATGAATAATCGTGAATTAACATGTCTTGTACACGTGAAATGATATGAACAAACTCCCGAAATAGATATCCATGAACAATTATTACTCAATATAATTACATCATTGCCTTTCTGGATTTTGTCCTAGCAATTAAGTATTGATCATTCTAATTTCCCCGACCCATATAGTAATTAGAGCAAGTATTATATAAATTATGTAACTAATATTCAATATCAGTGTTATATATATATGTCCATTATAGTAATGACCTTTTGGCGATAGACATACTCAACAAAATTAGGGCAATGTATAATGTGTTCGAATACAACTAAGTGCCATTATGCGCAAAGAATGTTCGCAAACAACAATATTCATGTTGGTTGAAGAACGTCGTCTTGTTTTACACTCTGCGTCGGTTGTAACCGACTTTAAATAAAACATTCTGCGTCGGTTGAAAAACGCCGTCTTGTTTTGTATTCTGCGTCGGTTGAAACCGACTTTAAATAAAAAATTATGCGTCGGTTGATAAACGCTGTCTTGTTTGTATTCTGCGTTGGTTTGAACCGACTTTAAATACAACATTCTGCGTCGGTTGATAAACGCCGTCTTGTTTGTATTCTGCGTCGGTTTGAACCGACTTTAAATACAACATTCTGCGTCGGTTGATAACCGTCTCTAATTTCCGTCGTAGAATTATCATATTCAACAAGGGTTCAGTTGACCGTCGACGTAACCGTCGTTGTAACTTATTCTATGACGGTTGGAGGCCAACCGTCGCAAAACATCCGTCGCAAAACACATATTTTCTTGTAGTGTTTGTGGCATAGAGGACTTGGTCATCCTTCTCGACATTATCTTTCACTGCTTCCTTTTATTTCAAGCTCGAATAATGCTGGTTTTTGTGATGTATGTTTTAGAGCTAAACAGGCTCGTAGTCCATTTCCAATAAATAAAAAACGCAGCTTGCATACTTTTGATTTAATTCACTGTGGTCTCTGGGGTCCTTATGCTACTGTATCCTTCACTGGTGCTAAATATTGTTTGACTATTGTGGATGATTACAGTCGAAATGTATGGGTATTTTTAGTGCAAAATAAAGGAGAAACATATTCACATTTTCGATTTTTTCTTAACATGGTTTCCACTCAGTTTCAAACATCAGTAAAAAACATTCAAACAGATAATGGAAGTGAATTTATGTCATCTATGATGCAAACTTTATTGGCAGATTTTGGTATTCTTCATAAGCAATCATGTACCTACACACCCCAACAAAATGGACGTGTGGAAAGAAAGCATCGTCACATTCTTAATGTAGCTCGTGCACTACGATTTGATGGTAATTTGTCTCTTCATTTTTGGAGTGATTGCATTCTCAACGCTGCTCATCTCATAAATCGAACTCCCACAAAACTCCTTGGTGGCAAAACTCCTTTTGAAGTTCTTCATGGAAAAGCCCCATCATATGATCACTTGCGAGTTATTGGATGTCTATGTTATGCTATTGTAGTGCCTAAACCATCAGACAAATTTGCTGCTAGATCGAAACGCTACATTCTCCTTGGTTATCCGTTCAATAAGAAGGGTTGGAAGCTTTTTGATTTGGAATCAAATGAGGTATTTATTTCTCGCGATGTTAATTTTCATGAGGATAAATTTCCTTTTGCTCTACACAACATGCTTTCTTCTTCTCAAACTGGTATACCGCATGCAAATTCGGAAATTTATGAACCACCATGTGCCAATTTACCCGAACCAGTTTCTGACGTGGTGAGTTCGACTTCATCAGCTTCCGACGCGGTAGTTGCATCTCCTGCAGCTTCTGACGCGGTGACTTCAGCTTCCGACGCGGTAGTGGTATCCCCAGCAGTTTTCGAAGCGCTGAATATGCCTTCCTCTTTCGAGAATACTGATGCTAATTCTTCTCATTTGTCTCCTATTATTACCTCTCACGATAGGGGGAGCTCTCCATCTGCCATGTTGCCAGTTGTTGCACCGAATCAACGTGCGCGAAGATAGCATAAAGCTCCTGCCTATCTTAGTGACTATCAATGCAATTCCACGACTACACCCTCTTCTACCAACATCACTCCTTCAGTCGCCTCAGGTAAACCGTATCCTATAGATCAATTTTTGTCTAACAATAAATTTTCTATGCAACATCAGAGATTTATTGCAGCTGTTAGTGCACATATTGAACCTACTACATTCAAGGAGGCCATGCAAAATAAAATGTGGCAAGAAGCTATGCAACTCGAAATTGATGCATTGGAAGCAAATAAAACTTGGGTTATTACTAACTTGCCTCCTGGAAAGAAAGTTATTCCTTGCAAATGGGTGTTCCGCATAAAATACAAATCTGATGGCTCCATTGAACGTTATAAAGCACGTTTAGTCATTGCTGGCAATAATCAGATTGAAGGAGAAGACTATACAGAAACATTCGCACCTGTAGCAAAAATTGTTAGTGTGCGTACCTTTTTATCTGTGGTTGTTGCAAAGGGTTGGGAGTTACATCAACTTGATGTTCAAAATGTTTTTCTTCATGGTGATCTCAATGAAGAAGTCTACATGAGATTCCCTCCAGGATTCACTAATAGCTCTCCAGGTCAGGCTTGTAAACTTCAAAAATCCCTCTACGATTTAAAGCAATCACCTAGAAACTGGTCTGCCAAGCTTCGCCTCTCACTTATTTCCTTTGGTTTTCAACAATCCAAAGCTGATTATAAACTTTTTACATATTCTACTGGTGATAAATTTGTTGCAGTTTTGGTTTATGTGGAAGATATTATTTTAGCAAGTAATGATTCTGCTATTTGTCTTCAAGTAAAATTACATCTCCACACTTGGTTTAAAATCAAGGATCTTGGTAAGCTGAAATATTTCCTCGGTATTGAACTTGCAAGAAGCTCTACTAGTTTATTTTTATTCCAGCGAAAATTTGCGCTTGATATTCTTAAAGAATGTGGTTTACTTGGTTGTAAACCAGTCGATTTTCCTATGGAGCAGAATGTCAAGTTAGCACTAGATGATGGTCCTGCTTTTTCAGATCCTACACGATATAGAAGACTTGTAGGGAGGTTAATATATCTTACTATCACCCGTCCTGAGCTCAGCTATGCGGTCCATTCTTTATCTCAATTCATGCAGCATCCGAAGCAAGCTCATTATAATGCAGTCATCCCAGTACTTCGTTATATTAAAAGAAATCCAGGACAAGGGATTCTTCTTCAATCAGATTGTGACCTTCAACTTAAAGCCTTTTGTGATTCAGATTGGGCAACCTGCCCTATTACAAGACGGTCTGTCACAGGTTATTTTGTTATGCTTGGCAATTCTCCTATTTCCTGGAAAACTAAGAAACAACATACTGTTTCTCGATCTTCCGCTGAGGCTGAATACCGATCAATGGCAAGTACTACAGCTGAGCTTCTATGGCTTAAATCTTTTCTTCAATCTCTTGGTGTTCATCATACTCAATCCATGAAATTATTTTGTGATAGTCAATCTGCTCTTCACATAGCTTCAAATCCAGTTTTCCATGAGCGCACCAAACACATTGAGCTAGACTGCCATTTTGTT